AAGCATAAATCTAAGATAATAATCGACAAAGATTTGTAAAGTAAGTTTAATATAACGTTATAGGCGATAAATATACATAAGTTCAAAGTAAATACATGTACAAACTCAACACATAAAGAATATACAAAGAGGAAGAGAAATGAACCACAAATCTCCCGGTTTGTCAATGCCGATTGATAAGCAATCCACCCGGATTATCCGTATGCAAGCTTCAATGTTGTTTTCTAAGCTAATCCTATCCAAAAATGAAGGTTGATGGAGTTGGGATAAAAAAATACCCAAAACCATACCCAAAAAATGTGTTTTTACCCCTAAATACGCATTTTTGATTGTCCAGCATCACTCGACGACCAAAAAGCATCACCCAGCGACCAAAAAACCATTTTTCCATGCTTCAGCTCGCCTAGTGTCGCCCGACGACCAAAAAGCATCGTCCGACGATGGTTGACAGAAAGTTGAAAAACCAGCACAGCATTCTGCATAATTTCGGCTATAACTTTTGAACCGTAACTCTGATTTGCACCCGGTCGGAAGCGTTGGAAAGCTTATTCAATGCTCTATCTAAAAATGCCTAAATATCAATGCTTGGATACCTACAAAAATGATATATAATCAATTAAACTCAATGATATTTACATGATAATTCAATAAATGCACTATAACATAAACTATACCGAATATACACTAAAGTTGAGGTTTATTGACAAAAAACAAACGAATTAAGCTGATGAGTGCTGATTATTCATACTCAAATTCATAACAATTTAACACTCATCAAACTCTATCTAATTTAAAACATTGTTTGTCCTCAAACAAAGTCAAATAAACTTAAAGAAGCAAAAGACGATAATCAAAGAATCACGAATCAACTGGTTTTGAAAACAGAAAATAAATGCAATGGTTCAAATGAAAAACAGTACACATAAAGTATATACTTACCACTAAACTATGACTATAACATAAACACAAAACAAATGCTAAATACAAAAATTATGCCAAACATTCTAAAACAATACTAGGTCACAAATGAATCACACCTAGCAAACACAATCATCGGTAGATGAAAAGCATACAAAAATAGGATATTTTCACTTATCCAACAATCTTGAAAATAATAGACTAAATTATGCATTCATCCAAAAATTTACATTGAAAATATAACAACAAGAATCTCAAGGGCTTTTCAAGGTTGTAATGTGGCTTGGTTAACAAACAAGTGATAAGTCCTAAAGCTAATCAAAACAAAAACTTACCTAAACCTAAGAGGGTAATTACTTCCACAAAGTTTCAAACAATATAATTTCAATCAAAATTCTTCTTCATCCTAAATTTCAAACCAACAAACATCACTTATTCAACACAACATTATTTCATACTCTTTTTGTTTTTCTTTTTCAAAGCTTTTTCAATTTTTTCCTTTCTTTTTCTATCACTTTTTTTATTATTTCTTTTCTCACTTTTTTTCTTTTTATTTTCAACCTCATAGCAATCAACCAATAAATACACAATCATTTTTCTCCCCAACTTGAATTCAAGTATACATTAAAGTGAATACTCCCTACTTTTTAAGGCAAGGTAAAAATTCAAACCAAAAAATGGTTGAGGGTTCAAGAAAACAACGAATCAACATCCATGCAAAAAGGGAAACTAAATACTCATAGACAAGCATTTAGCAAATACAACATAGATATCGAAGAAAAAAAAGCTCAAAGGGGTTACTAATGATCACACACTCACAAGGTGAATAGACTTATTTGGCCAAGATGGTTGTGCTCAAAATGAAACAAAAAAAAAGCCTTGATCATGTTCAAGCTTTCATACAATCAAAACAAACAAAAGATTAAGCATAACAAAATCCAGTTAAAACAAGAATTATGGTCTCCAACATATGTGAACAATGGAAAGCTACCTCACAAAAAGGGTAGGAACTAAAGTGATTCATAAATGAACAAGTATACAAAAGAATGAATGGCATAAAAATTGTAAAATTCTAAGTATCATGAATATGGTAAAGTATAGAAAGTGATAAACACATATCTCGAACGTCTATAAAACTTTAACAAAATCATTACCATGCATTCGCAAGTCGAAACGATCAAACTTGACAAATCACCTCAATATTCTATAAGTTACCGGACTAAAACTTGAACGCAAACAACAACAAAAGAATTAGATAAATAATACTCCTACAAAATTTCAACGTACAAAATTTACAATATATACAACAAACAAAACTCCTCAAGTTAAACACGACAAGCTTTAGGAAAACACAAATTGACATAACAAAACAAATACAAATAACGATATGAAAACCAGGTGAAAATGAATTAACAGGTTAAAAGTGAAGATTTGAAATTCAGAATATTTCCTTGTTTCAACATGTTAAAGCATAAATCACCACACACATAAACAAATACAAACAAATATGCTTGTTTTACGTCGTAAGCTCGACGCCTTTATTATGCGAGCTAGTAACCTCCTTTCATCATGCTATGGTATTGTCACACCGCACAAATCTAAAGAAAGTGTCATAACAATCACACAAAAACGTTACGAAAATGAGACAATTCACAATAGTACGTGAAAACACATATATGCACAAATATAATATACAAGTTAATATATAATTACTATACAACATATACATTAATTACAAAACTAAAAAACAAAAGAATTATCGCAATGCGAAATCAATAGAACCAATCCCCGGCAACAATGCCATTTTGTTGGAAGCAGTGTAACGGTAAGCAATAAAAGTTTTGGAAATATTTATTCGGGAATTTATCGTGTCCACAAAGATTGATTATTGAATTGTCGTTCGATAAACCATTCATTAATGAGTTTGTGGGATAAGTGGTTTTGTAAAGAAAATGTTATCAACAGAAAATAAATGTAAACAAAAGTAAAAACTAAGGAAGAACTTATCAAGCCTACATATAATCTACTCATCACAGACTTAAATCTACCGATCAGTTACATTCAACCTAACAATACTCATCAATGTCAATATGTATCACTCACAACCTAAGTCATTTCTAACCCAAATTGAGAGACCGACTGTATCACCAAGGAAATGATCTCTCTACCTCCTCAACAATACAAAAGACAACTATGTAATCGCACTGACCATCTCTCAGTAGAACACAAACACACAAAGGCATTAAGCTATGATACCCAAGTAAATGTCAGCTTTAAATATATCTCTAGAGTTCTAAAACTAACAGATAATCATCCTAGATAAGAATCTAAGCAGTATATGTCTATAACAACTCAAATCCCTAGCACAGAGCAAAAAACTAAGATAATAACCGACAAAGATTTGTAAAGCAAGTTTAATATAACTCTGTGGGCGACAAATATACATAAGTTCAGAGTAAATACATGTACAAACTCAACATATAAAGAATACACAAAGAGGAAGAGAAATGAACCACAAATTTCCCGGTTTGTCAGCGCCGATTGATGAGCAATCCACCCCGGATCATTCGTATGCAAGCTTCAATGTTGTTTTCTAAGCTAATCTTATCCAAAAATAAAGGTTGATGGAGTTGGGATCAAAAATACCCAAAACCATACCCCAAAAATGTGTTTTTACCCCTAAATACGCATTTCTGACTGTCCAGCATCGTCCGACGACCAAAAAGCGTTGTCCGGCGACCAAAACAACATTTTTTCCACGCTTCAGCTTGCCTAGCATTGCCTAGCGACCAAAAAGCGTCGCCTGGTGATGGTTGACAGAAAATTGAAAAACCAGCACAACATTCTGCATAATTTCGGCCATAACTTTTGAGTCGTAACTCTGATTTACGCCCGGTCGAAAGCGTTAGAAATCTTATTCAATGCTCTATCTAACAATGCATAAATATCAATGCTTGGATGCCTATAAAAATGAGATAAAATCAATTAAACTCAATTATATTTACACGATAACACAATAAATACACTATAACATAAACTATATCGAATATACACTAAAGTTGAAGTTTATTGACAAAAAACAAATGAATTAAGCTGATGGCTGCTAATTATTCACACTCAAATTCATAATAATTTAGCACTCATCACATGCTCAGGAAGATCTTTCCCGGATTATGGGTGTGAAACATGTGTTGGGTACAAGTACTTATTTGGGGCTTCCATTTATGATTGGTAGAAGTAAGAAGTCTACTTTTGCATTCATCAAAGATCATATTTGGAAGTGTATTAATTCTTGGAGGGTTTGACCAATGTCGAGGGCATGTAAGGAGGTAATGATCAAATCAGTCCTATAAGCTATACCGGTGCATGTTATGAGTGTGTTCATCCTTTCGGACACTCATGTGACGTATATTGAGAGGATGTTGAATGCTTTCTGGTGGAGTGGAGGTAGTAATAACAAAGGGATTAGGTGGTTAGCATGGGAGAGTCTTACTTACCCTAAGAGTGATGGAGGATTGGGTTTTCGTGACTTCAAAGCTATTAATATGGCTATGGTGGCAAAATAGGGGTGGAATCTCTTGACCAATATGGATACCTTAGTAGAAAAAGTTTTTAAAGCTAAGTATTATCCTAATTCATCCTTTATGGTGGCGAAGTTAGGTAACAACCCGAGCTTTGTATAGAGAAGTATCTGGAAAGCTAAGGATGTGTTGGCGTTAGGTTGTAGGTGGAGGATAGAGGACGAGAGTCAGGTCTATGTAATGACGGATCTTTGGTTGAGAAACGATGGTAGTAGTTGGATGGAGGCCTCCCAAGGGTACCATATGTATTTTATGGTGGTCAAGGACCCCATGCTTCTTAGCACCAAGTAGTGGGACCTAAATAAAATTGGTAATTTCTTTTCTCCTGAAGTTACTAACAAAATCTTACAGGTACCACTCTTGGAGGATGTTACAGAGGATGGCGTGGTTTGGAAGGTGGAGCAAAACAATGCCTATACTGTTAAAACATGTTATAAGTTGTGGTTGCAGGGTTGCCATAATTATAAAAGGTACTAGAGTAGAAGGAGATTGGAGAGGGTTATGGGGATTCACGCGCCTCCTAAATCCAAGCATCTTCTTTGGAGGACTTGTCGGGGTTGTCTTCCTACTAGAAGTAAGTTAAGGCAACATTATGTTCCTTGTCCTAATAATTGTCAATTATGTGAGGGAGAAGTAGAGGACAACTATCATATTTTCTTTGATTGTGCTCTTATATCTCATTGTTGGTCTGTAGCAGGTCTAGAAGAAGTGATTAGACTGAAACTTGTGTCGATGAATGAAGCGAAATTGGTGATTCATGATATTTGTAGCAAAGAAAATAAGAGGGTTACTGGAAAAGTGGAAATTATGTTATGGGTGATTTGGAATAATAGGAACAATTGGATATGGAACAATGATAAGAAAGATGCTAACCAATTGAGAATGCAAGGGTATACCACATATGGAAGGATTGATATATGGCTCAAGTACCCCACGATTCGGAAGGAAGTGTCAGTCATCAGACAAATCATATACATATGTGACAGCCCCCGAGAAGTGGATGGGTGAAATGTAATGTAGATGCAGAGTTTAATACACAAGTTGGATACACTAATAGAGGTTGGTGCTTTCGAGATAGTTCGAGAAACTTTATGTTGGCATGTACCTCGTGGGATGTTGGGATTTATTCTACCATTGAAGCCGACGCTTTGGCTTTGAAGGAAGCGATTCAGGTAGCTATTAAGATGCAGTGGGATCATATTATTTTTTAGAGTGATTCTCAATTGGGCGTGCATGTTGTTAACGCTAGTTTTGTGGGTACCTCTGAATTTAGCATGATTATTACTAGTATTAAGCAGTTTCTTGTTTCTCACCATAACTTTGAGATTAAGTTTATAAAATATCAAACGAATTCTGTGGCTCATAGCTTAGCTAGGGTGACCAATTTATGAACTAGGCGTATGGTTCTACGTATGATTCCTCCTTGTATTGAATATTATTTAAATAAGGATATGAATTAAGTTTGATTTTGTAAAAAAGAAAAAACTATATTTCATAAAAAATATTTTCTAACAATTATAAATAAAATATTTATAAAGTATATATTTAATTCCCCAACAAATATCAATTTTAAATTTTAAATTAGCGTTTCCGCAATATTTATCAAAAAAAGATAACTCTTAGTTAAAATCTTTAACTCGAGACAAACATTTTTGACAAATAATTTTTTTTAATATTTAAAAAAAAAAATGAAAAAAATGCTATTCTTTTTTCAATATAATTAATTACTAGTCAGTGGCCACTAAGATCCAGCTTTGGAAAAAGAAAACAATCTTTTTAAATATTTTCTGAAATTTTTTATTTTATGTATTTAAAAATATTTTATGAATATAACTTCATTAGTCAAAAAGAAGAATGACGTGTTGCATTCCTATTGGATACACTCTTTCAACTCTCGATTTGTTCATGATTTGATGAGATGAGAAAGCTCTCCCTCCCTTTGTCGGAAGCTTCACTTCACTCTCCCTTTTGTTCCTTTTCTTGTGAAAACCATTAAACCAATGACTTTCAACTTTAAATCCATAAATAAAATACACGGATCTTGTTGACTTGTTCTTCATTACCAACTACTTTTTTGTTTTCTTCTCTTTTTTATTCAAAATAATAATAATACTTTTTTATTTCCTTATATAGATTTAAAAAGTATAATTAAAAAAATAAATGGTATAATTAAAAAAATAATAAATATTTTAAAATTCATGTTTCACCATTATTACTCCATCAAATTAACAACCACACTTCTCATTTTTTAAATCCTCATTCAACTCTTTCATTCAAGTCTCTCTACCTTTATAAAAATAATAATATTAATACCTTTTACATTTCTTCATCAAACTATCAAACTTTGTCTTTTCTCTTTTCATTTTCCACATTCTCTGCACATATTTCTTCAAAATCCTCATCAGGGTCATTTCATTTTTGGTTTTTTTCATTGATTCATGATCAAAAGCTTATGTTTTTGCCTTAAATAAAATCTCAAACAGTGATTAAAAAAATCATTTTTTTTCATTGTTTCTTAGTTACAAGAGTTGAATTTGAGATTCTGAAAAAATGGGATGTTTATTAAGTAAAGATAAAGATAAAGATTCAGAACCAGAACACAACAATGGTTATGGCTATAGATATGCTGAATCTTCTGGTCAACACAATCCTAGGAACAACCATGAACAAGTCAACCATTCAAGAACACCACAACCACATCAACCTGAAAAACAAAAGCAAGCTGCATCATCTCATATGATACCTTTGAAGCCTTCATCAGTTTCTGCTCCAAGTCCAAAACCTGTGATCAAGCAAGACACAAACACAATCCTAGGAAAAGGTTTTGAAGATGTGAGAGAGTTCTACACACTTGGAAAAGAATTGGGTAGAGGCCAATTTGGAGTAACATATCTATGTACTGAGAATTCAACTAGGCTGCTTTACGCGTGTAAGTCGATATCGAAGAGGAAGCTTGTGAGTAAATCTGATAGGGAAGATATAAAGAGAGAGATTCAGATTATGCAGCATTTGAGTGGTCAACCAAATATTGTTGAGTTTAAAGGAGCTTATGAGGATAAGAATTCAGTTCATGTTGTCATGGAACTTTGTGCTGGTGGTGAACTTTTTGATAGGATTATTGCTAAAGGACATTATAGTGAAAAAGCTGCTGCTATTATATGTAGACAAATTGTTAATGTTGTTCATATTTGTCATTTTATGGGGGTTATGCATAGGGATCTGAAGCCAGAGAATTTCTTGTTGTCTAGTAAAGATGAGAGTGCTCTTCTTAAGGCAACTGATTTTGGTTTGTCTGTTTTTATTGAAGAAGGTAAAGTTTTTGATTCATCCATTTGTCTTTTTTTGTTAGTTTTTGGTTTGACACAAATTATTGATGCTTAGGTGTCTTAAGATTTGGTCGGGATTTGATTGATCCCTGACCGATATAAGTATGACCGATTAGTCTATGCAGTTGCACGAGATACCTTAGTTCTGGTATATTTGTGCCATATTTGTTATTGGTAGCTTTATTTTGTATGAACCTGGCTTGGCATCCCTAACCGATGCTAAGATGGATGAGCCTATGCAGTCGCACGAGATATCTTAGTTCGGATAGATTTGTTGGCCATATTTGTTATTGGTAGCTTTGTTTTGTATGAACCTAGTATTGTGTCGAACCTAATGATATCGGTTTTTGTCAGTTGAGATAGGATTTGCGGGCAACCAGACTAAATTTTGCACTCAAATTGTAGTATCTGAAAACTCCATGTGAGTAAATTGCTGGAAATTAATGCTTTGCAGGAAAGGTGTATCGCGATATAGTTGGAAGTGCTTATTACGTTGCTCCAGAAGTTCTTCGACGCAGATGTGGAAAGGAAATAGATATCTGGAGTGCAGGAGTAATACTATATATCTTACTTAGTGGTGTTCCTCCATTTTGGGCTGGTAAACTATGATTATGATTTTCATACAATAAAACAACTTAAATCTTGTATTTTCAGGCTTGTATAATATTTTGACCACATATTTTTCTGCAGAGAGTGAAAAGGGAATATTTGATGCAATATTGGAAGGTCATATTGATTTCGAAAGTGAACCGTGGCCTAAAATATCAAACAGCGCCAAGGATCTTGTTCGTAAAATGCTTATACAGGATCCGAAGAAACGCATCACTTCCGCGCAGGTTCTAGGTGTGTAACATTCTTATATGAGTTTTTTTGATTAGTTGATTCTATTTTCTTCGCTAACTGATTCATACGTTGCATGAATGATTAGAGCATCCATGGATTAAAGATGGAAATGCGTCTGATAAGCCAATAGACAGTGCAGTTCTTTCTAGAATGAAGCAATTCAGAGCTATGAACAAACTAAAGAAACTTGCATTGAAGGTATTCCTCTTAGGCACTGTTTGGATAAACATATTAATTAAGCATTTTTAACATAAACATTTATAATATCCTTTAAGGTCATTGCCGAGAATATGTCGGAAGAAGAGTTCCGAGGTTTGAAGTCGATGTTTACGAACATGGACACAGACAATAGCGGTACAATAACCTATGAAGAACTTAAAGCAGGATTGCAGAGACTTGGCTCAAAGCTATCAGAAGCTGAAGTTAAGCAACTTATGGAAGCTGTAAGCGATTCTTAAGTTTTGTCCACTATATTTCGTTCGAAATTTTTTGTAACAGATGTTCACTGGCATAAAATGTAGGCTGATGTAGATGGAAATGGAACAATTGATTGCATTGAATTCATCACTGCTACAATGCACAGACACAGGTTAGAAAGAGATGATCATCTTTACAAGGCCTTTCAATATTTTGATAAAGACAGCAGTGGGTAAGTCCTTCATTTTGTATTCTCCTCCATCCTAATTACTTCCTCCATTAGTTTTTACCTGTCTAGTATAGTTAAGATCGAGTCCGAGTTCGTGTCGGTGTCAGACACTGACACCGACATTTGTGATAACATTCGATTTATTTATTTTTTTCAAATTATTATCAGTGTCAACGTGTTACTGTTGTGCCTAGTGTTCGTGTCTGTGTCTGTGTTTGTTTCGTACCAAAGAGTCATTTATATTGATGAAGAGTCTAATTGATCTCGATATAGGTTTATTACAAGAGATGAACTGGAAACTGCCATGAAAGAATATGGTATGGGCGATGATGCCACAATCAAGGAAATCATATCAGAAGTTGATACAATCATATCTGAAGTTGACACGGATCATGTAAGCCTATTTTCTTTTGAGTCATTACATGTTTCTCTTCTATTTCAGTAGATTAATCTTCAGTTTTGTGGTTCTACAGGATGGTAGAATCAACTATGAAGAATTCTGTGCAATGATGAGAAGTGGAAACCAGCAACAACTTAAGATATTCTAAAATACTTTTGAGAAGTGCTTCTGAAATATCATATAATTTGATAGACATGTAAAGTTTTTGATTTTGGAATTGTCTTTTTGTTTCTCCATAGATATTTTATTTCTGAGGTCTCTTCAATTTTGTCTTGGACATAAATTATAAACGCATATAGCAAAAGTTGATACCTCAATAAAATTAGACAAGTTTTTGCACTTGAAACCCTCAGCTTTGGTTGTATATTGAGAATATGATGCAAAAGTATTGGAAATTGAAAATGAGTTGGATTCTGAAAATGAATATGCCTTTGTAGAAAATTGAAAGTGAGATTTTTTGTCTGCAATAGCACCTCTTAGTTTGAAGGATAAGTTCAATATCTATCCAATTCATTGAGATTAAAAAAAATCTAAATTATGTTTGCAAGTCCACAAAGTCAATTTTGATGCTTTACTTTTTTTTTTAACAATATGGTATCATTAGAGTTTGGTTAGATTGGTTAGCTTAATAATAATCACTCATTGACAGAGGTCTCTTTGTTTCACTTTAAAATATATATATATATATATATATATATATATATATATATATATATATATATATATATATATATATATATATATATATATATATATATATATATATATATATATATATATATATATATATATA